GGCCTCGTCGTCGTCGTCGTCGTGGTGGTGGCCACCTCCTTAATCCACGAAACGAAATGGGTAATTAGTTTACAAATTCCTCAAATCTACCTGTTCACATCCGCTCCTAAGTCCATTCATGCCACCAAACTCCAAGCACCACTGACTCCTACACCATTGATGCACTTCTCATTCATTCATAACTTTGGACGACGACGACTTGACTTGACTTCTTCACCATTGACTGATGGTTCTACTTGCCGCTCCTCAGTTACACTTCACACAAATACGGCGACACTTTACGGCTATGGATGAAGAAAGTCATTCTTGGACCGAGAGGCGACCAGCAGTCTGCTCTGTCGTAATAACTTCTTACCATGTTTACGACGACGCGGAGGGACGAATGTATATGGTTCCAACGCACAAAGAGCCCAGTAGACTTATTTTGTCAATGAACGTTTCCCTGAAAATGATGGCGTATCGATTACCTATTCAATCCCTGGACTGACCTTTCTTACCAAATTTTGAAACCAATAAGAGTCACTTAAGACTTTTGTTGCAGACTAGGACATGCACTGGTAGGAGAGAATATTTACTGCGTGACAAAAGAGGGCGAGATGTCATTAAATCTCTTAAATTCGTGTGATTTTCAATTCTTGAGAATAATGCAGACACAGTTTGAGCATCCTTGAACCAAATGTATCATCCAAATAATTTCTTTTTCGCTTGTGACATGTCTTTCCGTTCGGAATTTTACCGTGCCATACGCGAAATTCGATATACGTACATGTCCGAAATAAATAAATCAATGTTTGCCAGCATATTTGTTTTGGTTTGGATTTAGATTGAGCGACTGTCAAGACCCGAGGGAGTCCGGTATGAAATAAGTGTCGTGGTCACATATGTGGTTCGTTGCGCGTTACGCAAGATGGATGAGGACATAACATGACGGCAGATTTGTCCCTCGATGGCTTTTGGATGACAGAATTGTAAAGAAACACCACATTTATTGAATGGGAATATTTTTATACATTTACCAACTCTATCTTTTATATGAACCCTACATACACCACCAAAATATAGCTTCAGCATATGGATGACACCTCATCTCACTCTCCCGATTAGTGGGATAACAACGCAATATTAGGCCAACAACTCTCTCGGTGGGGCATGGGCTGTGGCAAATAGTTTCCGTTTCTAATGTGGGGGTTATTATAGAGACAGATAATCATCAAAGATAGCGCCGATCGAATAGAAATGCAAGAAAAGGACAGACCTCGCCACAGAGAATAATAGGACGTCGTTCGCAATCCATTGTTGTCCCCACTATTCGGTTCTTTTGGTTGGGTTGTTGGGCGGCACATAGGCGAAATGGAGACGGGATAAAACACGGACCACAATACGGAACACGTACATAATAACCATGTGTATGAAATAAATGTATTTCGTGTCTCAATAAGATTTGCAAGTCATGATAGGCAATGAAATGACGGATGGAGGGAGGCTAAAAAACATAATGTGTGAGTTTGTTGGTTGGTGGGTATTAGTGTCAAGTAATAAAGTGGTTGGTTTGTTGGAGGAGGCGATTGTTGGAATTTTTGCCGGAATAAAAATACTAAGACGACACCAAGAGGAAAGGATTGGTCATAATTTGTGTCGCAAAAGTCCACGTCTTTTTTTCTTCTTCATGGAATGGAGTCGTCATAAAGTGAGACGGAATGGATTAAAGAAGACAATGGAAAAATGGGAGGACGAAAAAAGTCGACCCCAGATTTTTATTGAAATGATGATTCTCTTATATTCCTCGTGTTGTGTAAATGGCCACAGACTTTCACTGGAGAGCTGACATCGTCATCACTTCATATCCTTTTTCTCTTACGTAAGAGCACGTCAAGAGTGGTGGTCGAGTTGACTGGACAGCGTTCAACACCACCATCATCATGTGATCGTGGCGGAATATAAAAGGCCATATATGAACTGGACACAGGTGGACTTGATGATCCTCAGACCAGACCGCACAATGGATGATATATGTTCCGACTGACCCTACTCCTGCGGTTGGCTGTAACTTTTAGTTGGCGAGATAAGGAATTAAGCAAAATAAAAGTAGCAGCAGCAGCAGGAGCAGGAGGAAAGGGGCTCCACCACGTCCACCCAAGTATACATCGGGTATGAGGGAAAAGTGAAGAACCATTATGAGCTAAGTAACTCTGCCCATCATTAACATTGCCTCCTTCATTTCTCTCCTCTTTTCCCCGTCTGTGGCCACAACAATGGGAAATGAAAGCCCACTCTGCTACCTCTTTATCTTAATAGTGCATCTTTTTTCTAATAACCTTCTCCTCCAACTTTCTCTCTCAAGTGGACCACTCAATTCCACGCAGGGAGCCATGCACCAGAGTTTGGCTGCTACATGTAATGGCAGCCTTCCATTTAATGAAGAGATGGTGGCAGCGGAAGAAGACCCACCACCACCACGGCTTCTGGTTCTACTATTACGACGACTACTGACTGAGGAGGGAAGTGCGGGATGTGAGGACACATATATCCATCCGGAAAGGAGAAAGTGATGCGAGTATGAGTGGGTGAGAAGCAAAAAGGTGAGAGGAGGAAGAAGAAGGTGAAGTCAAGCCATAAAATGAAGATGGAGAAATCCAGGGAGGGAAATAGTGAGAGAAAGTGAATGTTCCGATGAACACGGGACGCGGAGTACATTTCACCAGAGAGACTCAGTTTATTCCGCCCTCCTCCTCCTCCTCCTCCTCGGAAGAAGAAGAAGAACTGGTCTCTGGCTCCTGCTCCTGCTGTGCTGCTGCTGCTGCTGTTGAGAGAGAGAAGGAGCCAATAGATTGTGGCATATCCGAGATAATATTTTTTATAACGATCCTCAATTCCATTTTATACGCGCACTTCTCCAATGGATTCCTTCCTCTATCGCTCGATAGATCGGTAAAATTAATACAAATGATTCCTATGAACAAGGATATGTCGAGCGGGGGCCCATAACTCTCGGAGGCCAGGATTTATGCCCGCTTTCCCTCTCGCCAGCCAGCCCCAGAGCTTCGTACGTACGTACAAACATACATGTACCATTCCGACGACATAACTGACTACACACGCTACGGAGAAAGCAGTAGTTTTGTCCGTACTTCATGTTGCCGGAGCGTTGTTTGACTCCGACCCGCTCCTCCTCATACTAACAACATGATTATCACTCTCCTCTCATGTCCAATCTTCCATATAATTCTTGTGACAGCGACTTCTAATTGTTTCATCTCTTCCCATCTTCTCCTCCTTTAAACCACTCACTCAGTCTGTTGGACCCAACAATAATAATAGCCAGACTACCAACAAGGATTGATGATGGCTCCTCGGGAAACAAATAGACCTTCTTCACTTGATTGGAACCAACAAGGGCTCCATTCAAACCCATTTGAGGGGATCAGAAATGACAAATAAAAAGTTCTCTGCTGCTTCTCCACCACCAGCCAGAAGAGCAAAAGAGAGAGAGAGAAGAGTACGTATTGTAGTTTGAAAAACAACATAAAACCCTATCATGGGACGTAATGGTGGCAATATCCAGCATCTTATCTGTCTCCCTGGCTGCTTGTCTTTATCAGAATGGAGAGGGAAGCCAGGGAGGAAAGCAAGAAATGCTGTTGGGTTTTGTCGGGTTGAAAAAGCCGTTTCTTTTTGGAAAGAAAGCGAATCTCTCATCCAATAAGTGCGGACAAAGAGACTCGGCACCAATTTAAAAGCCTTTCAACTCTGTTGTTACACGTCCTTTGCCTCCAACTCCGTCCATCTTCTTGCACCCGGATTGAGCCTGACTGGCTTCCAATGCCATCATGCATGCACATACTTGGGTTGTTTCCTCCTAAATGGATAAGTATGCACATCTCTGCGACTTCTTTCCAAGGAGATGTTTTTTTATGCCCGATTTGCAAGGACGGGCCAACCACAACCTTACACCTCGCCATCCAAATCACCCCCAAACTAATTAAATTGAAAATAATGGACCACGTTATAAAAGTGGAGAGATGGGAGGAAACCCCATAAACAGGGCACAAACAGTTGTGCTGTAAAAAGGCTATAAATCCTTCCACAAACAAGCGGCAAGATTGGTGGTGGGTTGGTTATTATGGTTATTTGGATCCTTTGGTGGTGGGTGTGATGGTGGTGTGTGGGGCCCTTATACGTATGCAATACACTTACATGTGCTATGCAGATGGGGAGACTACGATTAAATGAAAAGGCGGAAATGATGGGGCTCTATAGGCCATAATACTCTTTAATAAAAACAAGCTGTTGAAGATGAGCATTATTGAGGTTGCTGCTGATGTTTGTACCCAACGCGTGGAGCGAGAAAATACGGGAATTTTTGGCTGAAAAGTAATAAAAAGTGAGCCATGAGTGTTGTATATTGAGCTGCTTGACGGATCTAAACACTGCCAAATATGTGCCCTGGGTCGTCATAATATACCTCATAATAGCTCCAGCCTGCCTCCACCTTTGCCAATCAATATGCAAAACCTCTTCATTTGAATACACGACAGATGAACCTACCACTTTTTACTTTCTCTCAAAAAATAGACGAGCACACGGCTTTTCTTCCTTTGAATGGGTGATCGTTTCCATTTCATTGATTGTCCTTTTTCTTGTCTCTTTCACCAGTTTCTTCCAACTGAACAACACACGAAGGTGGTTTGCTCGAAAGAAATCACTCGTTCACTTACGAAAAAAACCGTATGCACAGAAACAATTGTGAAACTCCATCCATCCGGAATTGTTAGTATATTGCGCAAAAAAGCTCGTCGTATGATCCCATAAAGTTAAGCATGAATGTATGCATAGGTGATCCAACTGTCAAAATGTCCCCAAAAAATGCACGCTCCTTCTCCATTACAAGTTATTTCGTGATTATTATGCCGACTAAAACAGAAAAATGAAGACAGACACAAATAATTTTTTGTTCGTCTCTACAATAACTTGGATTTAATATTCACAAAGGTTTTTTTTTCTTTGACAAGCGATTCTGAATGGTTTTTGATTGCCTCAACGGCTACATTTATTCTTTAACTTAAATATCGTAAGTAATACTCTCTCTTCTCACAAGAAATGATTAACTTGTTTTGTTGTTGGCTGTGATCAATTGAAAAATATGAGACAAACATCAACGTTATCGGTGTGGATAACTGTGTAAGTAAGTAGTTAGTTATAATTAATTAATATGTACTGTTAGTTAGTTAGCATTGCAACGAGAACAAATAAAGTGACCCTGTGTGTATTTATGTGAGTAATCTCCCTTGATGATGATGACGACAAAGTTATGCAAGGAGACCACGATCCTGTATTACATAATATCTTTAAATTAAACTATAAATAATATAACAGCTTGTATCAAGGGAGTTGTAGAAATTTTAAACATCTTTATTACTAGATGTTGATAATATTAGTTTAAATGTACGTAATATTTTTAGTGGTAGTTTTGGGTTGATTTGCGTAAAGCGGTACATCTTCACACAATAATTAATTAATGGCCAACCTGGCAAACTAGCTACTATTTACTATTCCTTATACATAGTAATGCCTACACTAATAGTCCTACATAATTTTGTCGTTTAATATCCATATTTGCACATAATTATGTATCATATACTTAGTTGTCTAATAATGTAGATAAACGAGTGGCTATATATGGGAGCATTGGTGAGTGTGTGTGTTTATCATACATTTAAAGCTGTGTGATACTTTCAACTTCAAGCGACTTGATTACCACTAAAAAAATTATAGTGGTAAAAATAAAAACGATAAAATGTGTACTTGTACATATATCTACCGACTGGCTTCTTCTGTGATGGAATGAGTGGAGGTTAAATTATGCAAAAATTTGACACTTTCGCCACCCCTCCATCACGTAAAATTAATATAACAAAAGATACACAATAAATAAACGTGATAAAGTCTTTGGATTAAAAATTCTTCATTTTCTGACACGAAGATTATGCTTATGGTTCTGTGTGACGTTTTATGAAGGGGAAAGGAATGTGTCTTCTTCTTAACAATATATCGTAATTAGGTCATATATGGACATATAACTTTATAGCAATTGTTACCATGTTCTTGTAATGGGACACATGCATATTTTCGTCAATGGTGGTGGTGGTTGTGGGGGCGTCGAATTTATAACGTGGTGCGGGCGGATGTCAAATAATTTTTGATGATATTCTTGATTACGGGGAACAACTTACACTTGTTCTTGGATTAGAAAGGAGTGCGATTTGACTGCTCATTAATGGTGCTCGTCCGAGTCGTCATGGTATTTTGATCGTTTGTTAAGATGATGATCATCCTCTATCAAGTCGCAGTCGTCTTGATCAGACGTTTCACACAGGCCCTCCCTCTCCTCCTGGTTGCGTTTCGCTGTAGCCAGCTCGGCGGCGTGCTTTTTTCTCCACTTGGTTCTCCGATTTTGAAACCAAACCTAGAAAGAGAAGAAGAGAAATGGCTCATTAATTAAGATGAAGGGTGAATTAAATTGGGCGACAAAACACGAGAATGATGCCATAGCGGATGTCCCTATATGCCATGTAGAGCGGACAAACTCCTTGTTCTTGTTCTTGTTCTAAATAGCTAGTTCATTTCACTAATGGGAAAAACATGGAAGGAGAATGGCTGACATTAGTCTCCACTCCACTCTGCAGGCTTAATTTACCAGGGAATGCAAATGAGAAAGAGAGAGAGAAACGCACGCAATAATTTCTCTAAAATCACAAAATGGTTCATCCCGACATTGGTGGCATCATCATCATCATCTTGCTCTTCATTTCCCAGAATTCTCCATCCTTCCTGCCTGCCTGCCCAATTTTCTCAGACTCTCCTCCACGAGGTTCTGGTTCCGTTCGAGAACAGACCAAGAGTTGGAGAGAAAGAGACTCGAAAACACAACTTTCCTACATTCAACGACATTTATCAGACCTCGTTCTACACGAAAATCATGCTCCATAATATTCCATAATGGAAAATTACTTTGCAAACACTTGGTGTGTACTACTTGGCACCATGTTCGTATAAAGTTGCTTTCTAACTCAAACTACCGACGACTGCGGTAATGTTGCATCATGGTGCGGATCGTAACAGATATATGGCCACGGATATGTTAGCTCGTACTCAAGAGAGAATGGATGTCCAACGGTTCGTTGGTTGGTTGGTTAGAGACACTAGCCAGGGTAAATTAATGGCTATAATTTTAAGAGACCAGGTAGAATACTCAATTATCGCACACTTTACTTTGGATACGTGAATCATATTTAATGTGGCAAGTGCACCCTCCCATCCACTCCAGTGTCAAAACATTCCAGGCGACAGCAGCAGCATCATCATCACCCATGCAATTGTTAGACTTTTGATTTGCAAAATTCGCAACGCAAATTTTATCCCTTATTCGCCCATAAATAGCCAAACCATTAGCAATTTGCAGTGCATGCGAATATCTGCACCATCACCATCACTATATAGAAACACAACCTGGCTGTGTGTGGGTGACAGACGGCACCCCCGTGGTTTCGTACACGCCTCAAACACCACAACACGCAACGTGTTTCAGGGTCCAGAGGAGGAAAATCGGATGGACCTCATACACCCACAACATAATGACAATAATGAGCTACGGACACATCTTTCTGCCATCGAGAGAGAGAGAGATAACGATAAAAGTTGGTCTAAATAAACCTGATAAAATAAGAAGCCATCCATATACGTGGCCACAGTATTAGTTTGGAAATAGTTTTTTCCTGCCGGCAAGAAGTTAAAGGACCACGCTAAAGTTAAAGAGAGTGGAAATGGATGGAGAAGGGATTTGTAAAAAGGGGTCAATTCCACACAACAGCTTGGATGGTGGTTCTTATGGTAAGAATTTACAGACATTGGATGTGCACGGGGAAAGTGAATAAGGAAAGGAGTGAACCACCACCACAACGGAGACCGATTAGCATGGGAGGACCGAATAGGGAAGACGTGTGCAATTTGGAGTGTTGTTATCATAGAAATGAAGTGGAATTAGAAGCTCCACATCCAATTACACCGCGATGTGATTATGCGGACCAAGCTGTATTTAAACTACATTTTCATATTAAAAGGAACCCATCCTCGGAGGCAGCAGCAGCAGCAGCAGAACGGCTTATGCTCTCCCGAGACGGGATTTTACATGTCGACGAGGGACCACACCACTGATACATCTCCGGCTGCTGCTGCTCCTGCGGACGACGATGACGACGACGCTGTGTGGCATTATTATTGTGTGGTTCCCCACCCGACTTAATTTTATCATCAGTTGTATCATCAAATCAGTCTTATCAAAACATACCCCATATCTAACCCCGTTACTGTGAATGATTATAAATTTGTATCCAAGCACCTCACTAATTCTATTTGTGGGTTATTCCTACACTTCATTGTACAGGCGACCCATCCTACTTTTATTTCTCTCTTTCTCTCTCTCTCTCGGCATGCTCAAGTTTTTTTGCAAATGTGTTCCCCACCAATTTTCCTACGATCATGTAATTTAGCATTTTCCTTGTGCAGCATCATCATCAATGTCTGTCCTTCTTGAAATGCCGCTTTAATCCCATCTTTAGTTTGAAGCCACAACATGTTTATCTAACCATTGTCAAAGTGGAGCGATAAGTGCATACTCTTATCTCTCACTCTCTACAAGAAGAAAGCGGTGCTATTTATCATTAAAATTTCCAACTTGTCTACTTTACACTGGAGCAGGAGCCGTGGTGGAATAAGAATAAGGACACGAGAAAAGGGAGAAAGACTCTAAAATCTCGTCTCGGCGCAGTAATGTTGATTTTGATTAATGATTACAATGCGAGTCATTAGCAACAAATGTTTTTCGGTCTTGACACTCGTTTTGCTCTCCCTCCTTCCTTGATGGATTCATCTTAAACGCATCACAGCCAACCAAGTGGGAACAAATAACAACCCGACCCACCGTGTGCCCCACTTTCTGTCATCTTATCATTATTATTACAATTATTATTACTTATGAAGCAACAAGAACTTTCACTTCCGATATGAAACATGTACACAAATACACACAAGAAAAGGGGGAAGGAAGGAAAAATGACACTGCTGCCGCCATTTTATTTGCAACAAGTTTGATGACTTGATTTCAACAAGGTTGCAACTTTTGGATTTACGTCTCACTATAAAATAATGGTCTTTATTCCCTTCTCCTCCTTCCGACGGAACATGGACATGGTTGACGGGGAGGCAAAAGTGATGATCTCGTCGTCGTCGTCGTCGCGTTATCTTTCCGCGGTTTAGAACCATCCTTTGAAGGAAAGAGGAGAGAGATTGACTGATTTTTAGTGTCTGTATTTGTCTTTCATTTTGAACCAATTTGATGCTTTATGACACCCACGTCTGCTGGTCAGTTGGAGAGAAAGTTGAGCAACAAACTAAACTCTACCCCATCGATCCGACGACATTTCCTCCTCCTCTCTGCTGCTGCCTGTCGTCTGGACAAGTTTATTTTACGAGTTCATCTCTCTATCTCTCCTCCTCTCGCATGGCATCATCATGAGACGCCGAGCGAAGAAACAATTCTCGGACGCTGTAATATCTCTCGCTACGCGATATATAATGCATCCGCCGTAACGCGGATGATGGAGAGAAAAGCAGCAAGAGTTAGTTATCTAGTTAGTTGGACCAACAACACATGGACAGAGTTTTACACACAACAAATAATAATGAAAGGCATCGCCTCTTTTACACTGATTACGAACAGTTTAATTCGATAAGACCACGTCGAAACGGAGGGTGCAATAATAATAACATTCTTCACATTTATGGAACAAAACACAACACACATGGGACTAATGAAAGGACACCAAATTTATTAATTCTTCTTTCTCGCCTCCCTCCGCCTTTCATTCACTCATCCACCATCCTCCACAGACCATGGAGCCTCTCTCTCTCTCAGGACAGTAAATTAAGCCACGGGTTGAAACGATACAATGAGACGATATACAAATTATTATCATTTCGATGATCACCCTTCACTATTAAACTGTCATTTTAATGGAAGAAAATAATGATGGTCGAACGAGACATGTAAAAAAAATCAGGAGCACTCTAAACCATTTCCCCTTTTTAAACTTTTGCATCTTGTCTCTCTCTCGATCGAATAGCAGTCGGAGTCAATTTGCCCTCCTGCAAAAGTCATGGCTTGGTCGCCGGAATGTTACTGTGTCCACTTAAGTGATGCGACACTCTCATCGCATCGCCTTTAACAAAGTCGTTGATTCTGGCAGTAAAAAGTAAGGAGCCGGTGACGTTGGGTGAAAAAAACAGTGCATGGGACATTACAACCCTGTTTAGGTTATTCGTCGGACAATCCACTCACCCGGAATGAGGACGACGATGGTTTCAGAATATGTGGATGGAGTCCCATCCCGACGCTGGAGATGGGAGTCATTGTAATATGAAATGTGCGACGAGATATCATTTAACGGCTTATGATATGATGGCATTGAATGAAAGGCAGGACACGGATGTATTTGTGGGGATGGGTTGTTCCCGTCTTTCTCTTTCATCTCTCTCTCTCTCTCCCCTCATGTAAAGTAGCGGACAAAAAACAAGGAATTTTTAAAGGCATCATTTGGAAAGGTATGATTTGACAAATAGAGATAAATAATATAATATGTGTACCCTGCTCAGGGTGACTGGTTAGCTCTTTCCCAGTCACCACTACCACCACCACCGATAGCAAACTACAGTAGTATTATGTCTGCTTGAGTAAACGTGCGGATGGAAACTGATCCCTAACGTACACAAATAGTAGTAGTGGCTACGTACGTACGTACACGGTTATGTAAGTGAGTATGGATGAAAGCATTTGGATGAATGTAGCCAAAAAGAGGAGAGAATTACATGACAGGGAGACCTTTAGCCGTTTCAATCCGTGTAAAATGCACATGATCAACGCCATGAGGCTTCACAAACTTTTATCTGGTCAACAATAATCAGATGAATGGGAATGATCGGATGGAAAATTGATCCCCTTTGTTCTACTTGACTTTCTTCATGTCACTTTTCTCTCTCTTTCCACTTCCCTCCGTTTCATGGGGACGACCCAGTGAGCAATCTCTTTCTCATATCGTTGCACTCTCTAAATAAATTTGTGTCATTCAATTCAAACGAGAGGAAGGACTACTCACACACTTTATTTTTTTTCGGGGATGCCCACTTTGTTCAAATTATTCTCAACATTCATGAAACTTTTGACTGCCAGATACGCATGCACGTAGCAGACAAAAGCTGTAATTGCAAATGTCTCCCCTCAGTCGGAGTGTCACATGTCACATTTCTCTCTCTCACTCTCTCTCACTTAAGGTGGATGGGATGAGATGGATTTGCGTGAAAACTGGACAGCACGGGATTCTCTCCACTATTTTTAATAATAAACAGAATACGAATGATGTCCGAGATGGCGTGCATGGAAATAAATGACATGTAAATTCTCCATCTCTCTCTCCAAAATACGTAGTGGACGAGGAGGCGGAATGGAAAGTCCGTCCATATTTCTGAAACCGCAATGATGGTTTATAAAACACTGATGGATTCAGACGGATGGACTGAATGATGATGCGGACTGCTTGATTCAAGTTAACAGATGGACGGTTCATTGATATGCAAAAATGGTAAACGAGAGAGACGAAGATTATATTGGATTTCTTCTCCGCCCGTCCGGCTGACGACCGATTCGATGATTTTTTGAAATCTGCTTTGCATATATCATTCCCACATATGATCCATGTGCAGGCAGCAGATCCGCCTCGTTTAGAGGTCTGTTGAATAATATTCCGTCCATCCATCTCTCACAAATTATACTTCCCATACAACCAAGTAAATCGTATAATGCACATTTTATTAAAGTTTTGTACTTGAACACGCTGCTATCCTTGTACAACCCTCGTCCTCCTCAACCAGAACCCACCCATCCAAAATGGACAATGCTATTATTGAGCTCTCTCTCTCTCTCTCTGCCCATAGTTGCATTGTTGGTAAAAATGCAGAGTTGATAGTGAGTGAAGCGATGGATAGAAAAACGGATGCAGAGGGTAGACCACAGTAGTGGGTCTCTTTTGTTCCAAAATTTTGACACACTCAGCCAGGATAATGGCTAACTCCGCCTTTAAATATGATGGGGTGGAGAGAAGTCATCATGAGCACTTTTATCAACCCACTCACTAACAGGCTCTCATCTTCCCCTCATTATTTCACATTTCTTATCACTCTCACTCTTAAACGGAGCCATTCAACGATAATTATTGAGACTCATGTTATGCTGCTAATAATAAGAAAACTATGATAGTCAACATTTTTTGTTCATCCAATGAATCGGATGTTTAAGGATGACTAAGAAAGTGGCTCGACACAAAAAAAACCGTGCATGCACCCACTTACACCCAGAAATAAACTTTTATGGGTAAAATAAAGTAGGAGAAAGAGCAGGTGCTACGGGTGAAAAATTCACAGGGTTAAAACCCTTACATTTTGGTGTTTGTCAACCTCTTTCGTTCTCGGGGTAAGAGCGATTTAATATTAAAAGAGCCATATATTTCAGGAAACATGGATAAAGAGAGGACAAGCGAGAAATTTATTGCATTTTCTTCCCGTGTGATATGCACTATGTAGTTGAGGTCTGTTTTTCTGGCTGGGATAATAATTTGCTTGGATTTTCTATTGTTTCTATATAAAAAATTCAAACTCTAGTGTGGCGAGAATTTCGTCACCGATTTTGTGTAAATCAGACCCATGTGAAATTCACAGTTACATAATCCCCAATTTTTTAAACTTTATCATTATTTTTCAATTTGGGTGTAAATCTCCCCATTTTCAAACCAATTATGGAACACCTCTCCAATTTCACAGGTGGATAGAAATATCCAACTTGACAAGCGACGAGCACAATAATACGAACATAAAAGTGAACAAAGGACGAGGAGGAAATAAAGGGTTAATTCCCACCGAGGATTAAATGCTCCTTGCTCTTTATACACATTCATTTTGCTAATCGGATCGAGTGACTTATTAACTTCACGTCATGTCCCAGGACGAGATTAAGATTAGCCAAATGGTTAACTGTTGGACTGACGGATGAGAAGGGATTGACGCTGTTTGAATACATAAATGCAGCAGCATGGCAGTATTTCCTTAGTTATTGTTTGATAAATCAGTTTTCCTCGCTTCCTTCTGGGTGGTGGTGGTGGGTGTTTGTTGGGCGGAAGGCTAATGAAACATGGGACTTTTGAATATTTGATCTACTTCCCAATTGCCATTCATCCCATGAACTAACAACTCGCCTCTTCTCCTTTCCGACGTGGTTGGGTTGTGCGAGATAAGCCGCAATGTCACCGTGTGAGAGTTTTGTTGCTTTATTATTGAAGAAGTGGCTTTTATATGAGGGAGACAATGAAGTTGTTCAGCCATCTCCATTGTAAAGCGGAACACACTTTCTTATCTTCTAATTTCACAACTTTGTGCATAAATCCAGCCAAGGAGACAGGCAACTTGGGCGCAACAACTCACACACACACACACACGACCCGAACCTCGAACCAATTAAGCCTTCTCCTTCTTCTTGCGGTTTTACCACGAAACCCGACTTTCTCTGCAGCCCGAGTTCCCTCTCCCTCAACATAAGACACACATACATACTTCTCCAGCGTATAGGCTCCCATTCAACCAAGGGCCTCATCATCCCCACTCTCTCCGATACTCTTGTTGTCTTTATCTAGCGAGAAAATCCATGAACTCGCAATTTACTCCTCCGCTTGCTCTCTTAGATATTAACTAATCTACTAGATTTAACCATGCCCTGTGTATCTAGCACATAGCAAGTGAATGATGACGATGATGACGACGAAGGTAATGATTTTTTAGGCTAATTAAGAGAACCAAACTCTTCTTACCTTGACTTGGGACTCTGTCATTCCTAAACCATACGCCAACTTGGCACGTTCGGGACCAGCGAGATATTTGGTTTGCTCGAATGTCTTTTCCAGGGCGAAAATCTGATGTCCGCTAAAAGTGGGGCGAGTATGCTTCTTTTTCCCGTCCTTGTCACTGTTTCCACCAACTGCAATAATCACACTCAGAATCATACACATTCATAATGGCAGTGCAAACAACAAAATTAGTACGTGTGCGTGTGCTGCGGCTTGTAATCGGAAATGTTACCCTGATGCATTCAAAGTACGGAATGATAAAATGATATCTTGACTCGAAACGTGACTGGCACCCGTTCTTTACACGCTAATGCCCGTCATTTGCCCATTATTATTTGTCCGTCCCAACACCGCCTTCTGCTCGGAGGATTCATATCATGATTATTATTTCCTCCCAACAGCAGAGAGAGAAAGAGAGACGAGCTGACACTTGTTTTCGACTAAATTACATTACAAAAGGCTTACATGGCACGGATTTGAGACCAATTCAAGTTGAACTTGACTTTTATCTATGGGAAAGCAAACTATGTGTACGAGTGGACTCCACATAATATTGCGTTTCATAATAGTTTGTGGTTTTCCACGAGAACCAAGTTAAACAAGTAACAGCACGCTCAATTTCATCCACGATAAGATAATAATAACGTCGCTCGGGTTTTGGGGAAGAAGGAGCAGCGGAGGAGCGTGTAACCGAATTTATGTGCAAATTGTACAGCGTTGAAATTGGGAAGGAATAATAATAAGGATGGCCAGATAAAGATGGTTGACTTCCAAATCTCTGAGCAAATAATGAGAATTAAGCCCGTTTCACTTAATTGGAATACAGATGATGCTCGTATTTGCATTAAACTCGGCTCTCTCTCTCGTCTCAACATCCCGTTCTCTTCCAACTTGTACGCAATAATATTGTTATGTATTACTTTTCTCGTCCATCTGACAAGTTACAAGATTAATGTAGTACACATAGCGCGGAGGCATTGGAAGGAGGAGAAGGAGGGGATGAATTAAGGAAGAATGACATGAGCAGTCAATGTATAAATACTGAATGGAGAGAAAGATTATGAGGAAATCTTACACCGAGAAATTAATCTTACACTGAGAAATAACGTAAAACAACAAGAAGCAAGGATGGAGAGAGGACATTGTTAATTAAAAAAAATGATAAGCAGCCCAGCCGCGTCATGGTGGAGATTGAGTAGAGGAAAAAGGAGCCGAAACACGAGCAGGGATTTCTTTGTGGGAAGAAAGTAGGGCTATTAAAGCCTCTTACTTTTAATTAGTGGCTCCTGTTAATAATAATTACTGTGTTCTTTTAATTTGAGCCGAGTTCCAACGCCTATCAAACACATGGCTGTAAGAGCTCAAAGTATGAATACATTCTCGATGTGGGTGGTGTTGTTGCGTGGTGCAAAAGTGGTGGTACATTTTCTACAGCTCCTTAAGAAACACGGCACTAAATGCTTCACCACCACCACAAGCAAGCCAGCCTGGGAACATGGATACTTTCTCTTACGGCGTAAGAGAAAGTAGCCGCAGCAGCAGCAGCAGCAGCAAGTAAAAGCAAATTACCATACTTTGTTCATTACATTTCTCTCGAAATTAAAAACTGGGAAAATTTTCTCATGTAATAAAGTCAAGAAGTAAAGAGGGGAAGGAAGTGAGCTACGAATGGGAAATAATGGTGGTGTGGTGTGGCTCGGTGGTTCTTTCGCTATAATAACTAAATCCGTGTTTGAGACAAAACTTTTCTCCGCTGTTTTTATAATGCTCTTTATATTGCCCCCACATCCAGTCACAGTCACACTTTTATCGTCGTGGCAAGTAAGTCGCCCATGTTTTCATGTCTACTTTCCCCAGCAAAAGGACGAGTTTCTTGCTACGAGAGACTATCTGTCTCGTCGTCGTCGTCCTCCTATCATGTCTAGAAAATGCAGCAATAGTTTCAAAAAATATACCGAGTCGGAGTTGGAGCGAGCATTATTATGAGCACTAATATTAATAATCCAAAAGCCCAAGACTTTTCGCTATTTCATGGGAACAAAGTACTATCACCATCATTATTATTCAGCTTGATCTTCCTTCTTCTCCTCCAAGTTCCTCTCTCTCTCTTTCAATAATATTGGCCTTATTCCTCTCTCTCTGGGTCCCATGGGGCTAGTAAAGCATTTTTATATTTACACTTGCCGAAATGCTGCGCCCACTAAAAATGATCCTTCATATCATTATATGCCATTGCTGGCGTGTGGGGTGGATTCAATCTCTTTTTGCTGAACACACAATGGGGCATTTGATTAAATAAGAGCGGAATTGGGAGGAATAATGACGTTTGATTGCTCATCAGGGAGGGATGGAGAGAGTCATCTCGCCCACTTGATCACGAACCAACGAAACGAAACGGGACTATTTGCACCGTATCAATTTGATTAGCTGAGTGAGCCAACAAAAAGCATGTAGATTGTATTTAGTAGAGAAATAAAAAGACTGCGTGAGCATCACCTCATCCGTTCCCCTCCTTCCTCCATAAATAAATATATCATCATCGGACCAAATAATGGAATGACGTTTTATCCAACAAATGATAAGTGAGTGTAAATTAAAAGCATCATTCGAACCAAATTGAATTACATGTCAATAACGAGGCAACCTTTAAGAAATGGGCGAGATGTGCACACATAAATGTATCAAAGTGCAGAGCGATATTGATAAATATGTTTAGAGAAGTAATGCCAATAATGGGTGGCACATGAAACGGGGTCAACACTCAATAGAGTAGAAATACAAGGAGAGGGGGAGAGGATGTCGTCCCACAACAACAACTTTCCCTTAATTAATGTGTTGACTGTTCAGAGGGCGAGTGGGGTTTGTCCCTTAATCAAATTACTAGCAATCACTGGAAAACCTTTTAATGGGCAACGAGATTATCTTCTCTCACTGATTCCGGCTCTCTGACTCTGTTTGCATTGACGTCGAGTATTATAAAACGGGATGAGAACAGATGAAGAAATTAAAAGTGAAGCTCTTACCGGAATGATTGTTGCCACGATCCCTCCACAAGTTGGGGTTGGCGACGAGACCTTGGAGTCCCGGCCAGTAAATGGCAGGTCTCGCGAGCTCGAGCTGTTTCCCGATCGCACCCATCCACGCAGTTCCGGCCATGTGACTCATGGACATTCCCATCCCAGGGGGCAGTCTCCCCACACCCCCGGCAGCAGCTGCACTGGCGTTGACCATCGCGGACGCGGCAGCCATGGCGGCGCCCAGCGTCTGTTGGGAGGGTCGACTGAGGATGTGGTCAATGCCGTGCGGGTTGGCGGCGGCGTTGGACGAGTTGTTGCCCCCACCACCACTACTCGTTGAAATGGGGGGTGAGTGCATGCTCTGCGGAAAACAGCCTGATGAAAACAGCTCCTCGAAAGAAGGAGAGTGGGAGTTGACTTGAGCACGTACATGGTGATGAGGTCCGTGATGTTGGGAGGAGGAATTTTTGAGGTTTTGTTGAGCAGCTGCGACGGAAGTGGGGGTGTAATGTTGAAGCATGGCCGACTTCATTTCAGTCATCGAATGGAGAGCTGCGAGGGGAGGGCTGCCAAGGACGAAAGCGGCCGCGGCGGCCGAAGGACTAGAAGCAGCGTTACCTCCTCGACCACCCCCCTCCATGTTACCTGCAATTTCCATCCACCCTGCTGAATTAGGGAAGACAAGAGAAAAGGGGGCGAGCCATGTTTAAGTAACAATCAAGTCTTTCGTTTTACGGGCGGCGAGACAGTTCTCGGGTAATCAAAACCAACTCGGGCTCAGTTTTGATTACATCGTCATGCTCAAAACCTCTCTCAATCCATGCTTGTTGAGGAGGAAGATGAGATGATGATGATACTTGCTAATAATACTAATACCCGCTCGGAATGAGAGTGGTGGTCATAGTATTTGGCATATAGTACTATTTAGTAGTAGGTAGAAGGCATTTGTGGAAATGGCATAAAATAACAAGAGGATGGCAGTAATAATGTAATCCGTGGTGTCACCAACCTGCTGCTAAACTGTTGAGATTGTTGAGATTGAGCAAGGAGAGCATGGAGGAAGCAGGTGATCCAGCTGTCGCAACCGGTGGGTTCGAGTGGAATTCCAGCATTCCTCCCAGTGTTCCACCCGAATTTACCTAAATTCATTCACAATCTTGTCAAATCTTGATTTTATTCAATCCGACCACTTTCTCCTCTTCGCCTGGAGAGAGAGAGTGAGAGAGAGAGAGAGAGACAACCACACATGCATCATTCATCAGCTTTTCTCTCGCTTTCTCCTTCTCTCACTCGCATCTTACTCGCTCCTCAATTCAATTCGACGACAATTTCGAGAACAATTTGACAACTGTCTCTCACTTCGACATAGAAACGGATGTCTCGTCATCCGTATTTTCATTCCACGAACGAAAAACTCGAAGTGTGCAGCCTACTTATTTTTCTACTAGATTTTACTCTTTTTGCGGTGTTTACCCATTTATTCGACTTACCGATGGTGAACTGCTAATGCCCGAGAGTGGAGACGAGGACCGCGTCTCACTCAATGACGGTGGGTTCGAACGGGAATCGTCCGTCAACTGCAGATTTTCCCGTAGAGTTGCCGTTTTGATGGGAACAGAATACGTGATTCCTGTAAAAGGCGAGGAAGCAAGGACTGCCCCTCCACTACTTCAATCAATTAATATTAATACACCTCTCGGTATCGTGTCGTATAATTATTTAGTCGAATCTAGTTCACGAGAACACAAACAAATACAGCAGTTTTTCGTCTCACGCGCAAATGACACCAGGAAAAATCACACTTTTCTTTATCCTGGTTTGTCGCAACACCAACAAACCACACACTCCTCGCCACACATAAGTTGGATGGACACCAAATGGAAAAACTTTGGCACTTGTGGACACGGGAAGAGAGAGCACTTGTTCTTCTTCTACTACCAGCTCGGAAAAAGCCTCATGTCCAACTAACTGCTTCTTCAGTGTGTGAAATGCAACTAGCATGAGAAGGTGAGATGAGACTCTCGTTGTGCACAAGCAGTGGTATGGATGGGTACTCAGTCAGTAAGGAAATGTGGTCCCTCTTCTTCCTGGGTCGACCCTCCAACACTTGGTGACAATGATGATGAGGACAAGATTTAGCGAATGCACAGGTAGATAGCCCGATTTCTGATCCCAACAAGCTGTGCCGTAGTGGTGGTGGTAGAAGTACGGTCTCAAGAGGAGGAGGTGGAATATTATTATTCTTCTTCTTATTGGAGCTGTTGTTATTAGTTGTTGAGTGGAAAGTGGACTGCGGCCGGATGTTGAGAAACGTTACCGTTTTGTGGGGTGAATTGCTTAGATGTGGATCATGTCGAGTTTTGCATGAGTTTTCTCATCATGATCATCATCATCTCCTTTAGTTGCTTTGGTGCTGCTGCAGGTTAGTGAGGAGGACAGTGGTTTTTCTGGCGTGAACAAAGGGGAGGTTGGGCCGAGGTGGAGGGAGAGGCGGGTTGTGGGGTGCGGATTGGTGGCCCAACTCCCGGCTCACCCGACACCAGACGGAAGTGGTTTCCGAGGCGAGAGTTGCGCGCATCCAGCCCCGCAGTCATCATTTCCTACTCTCTCCTCTGACCCTCCTTCCGCTTAATTGTTTCTTCTTCAATTGACTCTGTCACTCCTCTCCTCTCTCCGCTTCTTTATTGCTCCTAATGACGACACAATTCCTCCAATGGAGCATCCTCAGCTATCAAATCCACCTTAGACCCGCAATTAATACCGCCACCGGAACGACCAGCACCACCACCAGCAGCAGCAGAAGGTGGGTAGGAGGTTGATGATGAGGGGAGGCTAATTAGTACCAAAATCAGGCCTGACTTACATCCTCGTGGTGTGGAATCATATGCATAACGCAGAGTGATTATTGTTTGCTGGTACGCAGAAGGTGGTGGTGGTGTTGACGAGATGTGCATTAGTCGGAGAAAGTTGTTGGTTGGTGGGTGGGTTGGTTGGGATAATAATGGAAAGAAACGTAATGGGGAAAACTAAACAAATGCCAAGTTTGAAATGGGAGGAAATGTCTTCATTAGCGGAATGGGCTGCGAAGAGAGCAGGCAATTTATTCCGTGCTCAATTTCAATCGAAACTGAGGAAAAATCGAGTGTCAGATGAGCACCCGTTGTTTGACAATAATTTAATTCAATGGGTGAATATGAAGGGAAATGTTTTTATCGGGTGGGAAAAACCGAGTAGTAGTTGATAAAGATGGAAAGTAAACTTGTTTGGCAATGGTTGGTGGAGTGGAAAAAGGAACACAGTTGGTCATATCTATTACCACGAGCGTCGAGTGCTTGTTTGCTGTTTGGCACTTTGCATCTCTCTCTCTCTCTCGATCGTCTGATTTAATAATATTTTTGTGCCGATAGCGCATAGCACCAACCACCACGGAAGAGAGAGAGAGAGAGAGCTATTAGGAAAAATGAAAGATTCGGCCCATCGAACCCCAACTAAAGTTTGGCTAAATAATGTTATTAGATCCTACAAATCCTGCAAATGCTTTGAACCCGGCATTCATCCGAACCAAGGTTTGTTCGTTCATTCATTCGTTTACAGCTCACTCAAGTAAGTGATCTAGTTCCGTGAGCATTAGTGAAATTGGGTTCGTTGTTGGCAATGGCAGAATTCAGACTTAACAAGCCAAACCAACCCTTCAATTCAGAGTTCACAAAAATTACGTTGGCTTCTTCTTCTTCGCCCTGATTACCACAAATCACAACGGAAAACATTTTCAGATGGAGAAATAAGCGACTAACTTCCAACAACCAAAACTAACTATGCTCCGCCGACTACTGCTGCTGCTCCTGAGCTATGTATGACATAAATACCTGCGGCTGTATATTTATAGTTACGTACATGCGTTCGACATGACACAAATCCTGCCAGGATTACATTCAAACTTTATTTCAGAAATTATTCGAAACTGAGATCAAAAAGGATTTTGTCACTCGCTCGGCGGAGGTAACTTTAGCTTCCAAATTCCCAGAGTGAGTGGAGCAGTGAGAGTCTAATAAGAAGACAGATATGGATTGGTTCGAGTTTGTAAAGGGTCGTCGTCGTGAGAGAGGAGGCAAATTGTCCATTAATCTCTATTAGAAGGATGATGACGCTAGTTTATGGAATGATGGGGTCGTGTTGAAATTAATATGGAAAACAGGACGAGTACAAAGTAACACGGGAGGGATTTATGTCTCATCATAATCCTCTCCTCGTGCATATCTACTAAATACTCGTGGAAATAGTTCCGCAATTTTGGACGTTTCCTGCTCATCAAGGTGATTCCTTAATTTCGTTCCTAGTAGAATTTTCCTACGCGTCACTTGATCTCTCCAAAACGCTCGTAACATTTAGTATTTTCTGGGAGTGAAAGAACCCGAATGTTCATTCGATTTGTACATTTATATTATTATGAAACGGGACATTATTGAGGCTGGAGTCGGTGTCATGCATAATCTGTTTGTATATATGAAACGCTGAGTGGTGACGGTTTTCGGGTTTTATATTAAAGCTGCTGCTCATCTCTCTCTCTCCCCTTTTGATACTGTGATTGAATTGAAAAGCCAAATTGGATTACAACCTCTGGAGAACCTCTGGAGAACATTTGGGTTGATGGGGTCTGATGAAACGAGCCATTCGCTGCCTCTCCGGGTCACATACTTTGTAGTCGCAATAGATACACGCACTTACACGACAGGCCGGATATCTCTGCATCTACAAATAATACGTATGTACATATTAGACACCCTTCGATGTCACGGAAGGGCTTCACCACCACCACCACCACCACGACCGGCTTAATCCTCTCCCTCTAATTTACGGCAATCCCCTCTCTCGATCGCTGCTTGACTTTCACTTAAGTGATACACAAACAATCAAATCAACTTTGTTATTTGTGCTCCAACACTATCATACATTTCATATCGCACATGTGTGCATGCCGGCAATTCGTATTTATTATTGGCAGATTAAATCAGAGAATGCTTGTATCCATAAGTCGCTAGTTAAGCTGAGGCCTCTCATTTACAAAAAAATACCAGTGTAGCTTATTAAAGACATGTGAATGCATATATAAAAAAAGTGCTTGCACTACAATGTCCAACCAAGAAGATATTGTAGAAATAATACTAATCTCGCGGTCTGCACATGCACGGAATAGTATCGAAGCGAAGAAGGAAGAATGAGTAGAATAGCCGAAAAATGGTATATCTCCCCATAAATTCCATCCATGCAATGATTGTCAGTCGCAATTTGTTTCAAGTTGGTTGAGAAATGAGACTCCGTCGTTTGGGTTGCTATTAAGGTTAATGCTGTTGAATGAGATGTCTATGATTGTCTAAGAGACGATCGAGCCAGTCAGAGAGAGAGAGGAAGAAGGATGAAATGGATGAATTGATGACATTAGATGCAAAAGTGGTGAGATTTGTTCCGACGACATTGCCGCCGCCGCCGCCACTGCTGCCGTGATAGGAAAACTCTTTGGTAATAATATCGATGGAGAGAAAGTTCCCTGCTAGACGGACCACTCACTCAATAGACCAAGTTTTGGTGGGTGGGTGGATGGCTAGGTGTGCAAAGTAAACGGGGCAGGATTTGAGCAGGGAAATCGAGTCGGAGATTATAATATGGCGTGTGAATCAAGTGGAAGGAATGGTGGATTCTACTTTTTGGGGAAAATTTGAGAAAATTTTGATTATAAAAAATTCTAACATTAAAAATTCTAAATTTTTACATGCACTTACTAGATATACATAATGTAGATTAAAGATCAAGTTTTTTTAACTTTTGTTATGTGGAGCAGGTAAATAATATTTGAGAAGTATTGACTAAAAAGTGACATATGGATTGAAGGTATTTTAGGTTGAGCGCGTGTAAGTATGTATATTTTGTGAGTGAAAGGGATATTAACAAGTAAAAGTAGCAGGATTTCGTGGTAGGAAGGAGGACGGGATGCGTAGGTGGTTGTGGGTGGACTCGGTTTGGAGGGTGGACAGATTTTTTTGGTCTTTCTTCCTCCTCTCTATTATGTCCATGATTCAGTCGGTGGGTGGTTGTTGGAGGGAAATGATGGGATATGATATGGCGAATAATGCGCTCCAAAACCCATACTCTTCCCTACATAAAGAGCCAAATTATATAATTCCATTTCCCATTTCGAGATGTGATTTGTTGCCGACATAAAAGTCGCCTTACATCCTATTTCTTTGCGGATTGCCCAAACTTTCTCCATTCTTGGGACCTTCTCAGTCCATCATTTCCCATTGCCCTTCCCTTATCAAAGTGGATGTCGAAGGAATCGAATTCACTGCTCGATCCCATCATCCTCCGGACTAGGAGAGCCATCATCATCATCATCAATGCTACTTCTGCTGCTCCTCTTTCTCAGGCAGGCAGGCAGGCGTTCTGCCTGCCACGACCAATCTTTCACTCTGAAAAGTCCACCAATAACGACCATCACCACGCACACACAAAACTTACATACACACACAGCCGCCTTTAATCCGTCTGATTCATCGCACTCATAAATTGAAACTTTTGTGGGGGTCATTCTCTCTGTTTCTGCCCATGCAGATCACATTTCCCTTATCCAGCCCAATAATTTTATCATATCTCTCTCTCAACTCGGCCCATTTCCAGGCCCACCACCACCACCACACGCCACAACTTTCCCCATATTATAGCTTTAGAACAAGTTGGACATGCCATTCCTTCCTCCTTGATTGCACTCTTTTCGAGGAAGGAACACACTTTCCAACTCAGTGCATGCGGTAACTGCTTTATGGCCTCCACATCATCTTCTCTCAACTTCTCCAGGCATCCACTATTCCATGCCTGCTAAACATTCTGCTCCCAATAGGACACTGCTTACTTACTTATGTACGACTGCTGTCTGCCACTGGAAGACGAACTCGAAGAAGAAGTCGTCGTCGTCGCCGTCGTCGTCGTGGAGAAATAATATGCCGGAGAATAAGGTGGCAACACGGCCCGGCGTCCTCTTTTTCGAGTGGTGGGTGCCACATGGCGAAGAAGGGACTCTTGAAACTTTTCCTATAATTTTTCTAATTTGAGCACATTTGAAAACTAATTTTTACCGTTTGGAATCTCATTCATAATGTGACATGTTGCCTCTCATTTTTTCATTCCCACTCTTTTCCTCCGCTTCCGTCGCATCAAAAGGAGATGAAAAATTGGCCCCTCCACTTTTTTATTTCATTCTCTCCACTGCAAACACTTGACTGGAGGAGACTTATTAACTAACTACACGTCACCATCCATTCCCGTCGCTCGCTTTGTCATCCAGCAAATTTAATTT